GTCCAACAATGGGATGACTTTACTTGGCATAGTTAGGGCTTTTTTTTAAGAGTCATGCATAATGTGCTGTTGATCAAACACTTCCTAAACAGCACTGACATCTATTGTTTGCGGGTGATTTGGGATACCAATGCAAGCATGGATATATGACACCCATACAGCTTCATATGAACACTCACAGAATGTTTTATCTACGTTAAACAGATTAAGATCAGAGACCACTGATCACTGGTAAAGCTAGTAAGCTAACCCCATAGTGTGGTAGGCGTTTCCAAACATGCTAGAGCGGAGGGAAAGGTTATAGACATCTTGGGTGTTAATACTGACATTATGTCTATGTACATGTGTAGCTGTACAAGAGATTCACAAACTATTTGTGACCATGTCAGTATCAGGCAAAAATAAAGCTGTTACAAGTGGAAGTATTGTCACCACAATCACCAAAAATTCACAAGACTCTTATCATGTCTGCCTATATTTCCAATCTGGTGCATCCCTTGTCTGTAGGTCAGAAAGGTAGGGTGATGGTTTACTCTCGTTTTGTTCCAAAGATTTGGAGGAAGAAGGAGAAGATGTAGATGATATCTAGGTAGATGTTGAGAGTAGCAAAGACATACTCTTCTGGGCTCATGGTGTACCGCTTGTTCCCCATGAGGAGTTGGGTGTCAAACGCCAAAAACTGCAACAGAAAATACAAATACAATTGTTTCTGATTCTAGTCTACAATATATGACATTTTCTTTCAATAATGGCTTGAAACTGTCTATAATCTTACCATGGTAAACAGTATGGCTCCCAAGACAGCGTAGGTGGCATCCAACCATGGTACCTAGATGGAAATGATAACTTGATTAGATGTGATTCCAGTATTTAGATCAACGCGTGAAAGAGCTTAGAGTTGAGTCTCACATCAGATGTTTGTCAATTTATGTTCATATTTAATGCAACTATATCCTGGTTGTACATCACATACCAAGTGTAATTGCTTCATTTGGTTAGTCGTACTTACATATTGAAAGGGAAGGACGAGTGCCAGCACCAGTCCAGAGATGAACATGACCATGCAGAAGACAAAGAGCACACCTTGGTATGATGTCACATCAAACTGGATAGAGAAAGCACATAAAATCAAACCTAAGTATGTTTATCCAACAGTAAGAAAACAGTATGAAAAGCTGACACACACAAATGATTTCCACTCTCAATCAAACGTGTATATGAGATAAAATATAAAAGTACAGGAAAGGAGAAATGTTGTTTTTTTTTATTTCTCACCTTAGTTTGGAAGCTGAAGACTGTGACCAGGAGGCAAACAGCTGCTGTGATGCCCAGACACATCACCACTGACTTGGTATTATAGAAACTGTTAAAACAAGAAACATGTAGAACTTTCTGAAAATGTTTCAAGCTATAAAAATCAATGTACAACACAGGAGGAAAGTCACTACAAGATAGTAAAACAATACAGTTACAAAAAGCAGTGGGCAAAGATGATGTGTACCTGGACAACATCCCTGTCATGTAGGAGAGGGACAGGGTCTGTAACAGGACATATGATAGTCATGTGAAAATGCAGGAGGTTATCTCACTCCATTTCAGGAAAGTATTCAGCAGCATTCATTTTCACAAAATACTTTCATAAATTTCAGTTACATCATTTTGACTTTTGACTGTCAACATACAATCTCTTGTGGGGTGAGTTACACATTAACAAATATTGTTAATGTATGAATGTACTTTTTGTTACTCTAAACTCTGTGGTCTGTGGCTTTGATTTGAAAACACTGCTCATCACACAAAAATGAATATTAAAAATATAACAAAGGTCCGCCTTGTACTTACAAAGATGGCAAGCAGAATCAGATTCCATGGAAACTGCCTCCTGTAGGAGTGAGGAAAGAGAAATGGAATTCCAACATTTTAGGTGATTTATTTCTTTTTTTCAATTTTATTTATTCATTTTTGATGATTTGCATTGAAGTTTGGGAACTTTTCACCTACCTGGGTGCAGAGCAGCAAGACAGGGTCACATAGGTGACGAAGAACACAATGCTGTTAAACAACAGAGATATTGTTAGATATGTTGTGAGACAGGAGCGGCATGAACCAAAAATGAAGCGTATATATTATGTGTATTGTGTATTACTGACTTGAGGCTGACTAAACTTGTTACTTACTAAGAGGCCCAGTACCACCCAGGGTTGGCTTGAATGTAGTCCTTCACAGGGTCACTAAAAGTTGGATAGTCTTAGTAAGTACACTAGCCAGTGAATTTCATCAGATGTACTTTATTTGTTGTTAAACATGTGAGAAAATTAAGATAGTTCTCGTCTTACCAGAATGTGAAGAGAGCCACAATAGCAAGAGTGACCAAAAGCTGGATCATCAAGATGGCGTACACCTAAAAGAAAGCAATTTTGAGTAAAGAAAGAAGGCATAATTGTACATGTACTGGTAATGGCTGCTCAGGCCTTTAAAGTTTAACAATGTTCAGTTCAGCATTCACAACAGAGCTACTATTGGAATCAATGTGATGATGAAGCTTTTGACACCTTACGGATGAAGACCCTTCTGATGTTGCGATCATCCCAGGTGAACTCTGTGAGCATCTCCACATCATTGTAGCAAGGAGCACTGGTGCCTGGAGAATACATTTATTTACACTTATTTAAAACTTTTTGATGTTATTTTTCATCATCACAGAACATGATAAACATTGACAAATCTATCAGTTAAAAATAAGGACAGAAGAACTTGAGGTGTTGTCCTACCCGCAGTGGCTTCCTCATAGCTGGGAGGAGCTGGGGCCACTAAGGCCTGTCCACTGGAAGAGCCATTGGTGGTCTTGTTTGCAAGAGAAAGCTGATAGCACAGAAGATGAACAATTTGTTATATTTAAGTTTATAGTCTGTTACTCATTTGAGCAGAGAGTTAATGAATATTTGAAGAAAAAAACTTCTTCAGTTGACCTGAATTTTATATTTCCAGTCAAGTATAAACGTTTCAGATCCTACTGGTGTTGCCTTTTCTTTAGGTACTGTTCCCCAATCTATCTTGATTAATAATAACTAGCATGATATAAACAAAAATACATGCATCTCCCTGAAAATATAAAGTTGTAAACCTTTATTGTACAAAGAATCACAATGTATAATTCATACTATTCCGGATGATTACAAGTGAGGCATATTACAGGAGCTTCACCATCTTAGAAAATTAAGTCTTAAGATGGCCATGACAGATCTACAGATGTCTGCAGATGTTTGATTAAAATATATGCAGTACTGCTGTATGTATTGTATTGTATTGTACAGAAAATAATGACACTGACATGTATAGTGGAGGTCAACAGGGGCCCAACAACAAACGTTTGCCCCAGAGCCACTTAGGAAGTTCATCCAGCCATGGTCAGAGAGCACCGATTACAATTAACCGGCGATGTTTGAAAACCCCAGAAGGTCGTTTAGAAACATTAACAGTGTTAACAGTATCATCAAAGACTGTTTTGACCAGCTGAATGGATATGAGAGGCACGAACTGGGACCAGGCCACAGTAAGCTAAGTAGCACGTTCTACCACAGCTACAGAGAGAAATGGGTTGTCATGGTGACGCAACGTGGTAAAACAATCGGTGACGCATTTCAATCACCTAACCTCTGGTACCACTGAACAGCAGCGTTATACAATACAAAAATATCATATTAACAGAAATGAAAATAAATATTAGAGGATTTAGAGGTCGAACATGCGACTCTGTTACAGCTGGTGAATCCTGTGAGATTTTGTGGCTAGAAATCCTGTTCTGCAGGACACAAACCACACTCATTAATGCTACTGGTTAACAGCACAATTTCTAATGTATACATTTCATTAAACGGACTGGTGACAGCTGGTGGTATTTAAAGCTGAATAGTCTGCATTGCATTCAAACATTTCACAATAGTGAGACTAAAGGGATGGAGTAGAGGCAGGCATATCAACTGACTGTTACGTAATTATCTAGGCCACATAGACCCACATAATTTTCAAATATACAACTTTTTTTCTTTTCGTAATTTACAGTAGATAAGGACGAAAAATATTAACTGAATGACAAATGGCAAGATTAAAGCAAGCTCATACCTTGCCCTGTGTCATGGTGCCTGTCTGTCTTCCTGCAGTAGGCTGTTCTGTATGCCAACCAGTCAGTGGGGCTCTGGTGTCTCCTTTCTTGATATTGTAGTTCTTGCAGAGGGAGTAACGAAGGACTGACAGCTGTGAGAAAGGGCCTCGGACTGATAGTGCTCTTCTTGTTGCCCAGACTGAACACCCTGTGACGATATAGTGATGTAATCCCAAAACAACGCAGTTAAGACTCGTGCAGATACCCCTCCCTCACCCACAGAGGGATGTTCTAGCAGCATCCAGGTGAAGCTGCACCATAGAGAAAAGCTGGGACTGTACCACAGCAACAGGAAAAATGGGGAGGATTGATGCCTGCATGATGCCTTATGAGGAGAGAAGTCCAGAGAAATCTGGAAATATGGTCTGCAGCAAAAAGTAGGACAGGGGTACTGCAGGGGCTAAAATATTGTGGAATTTCCACATTTAAAATTGGGATCAATGTTAATTAAAAATGTTGTCTGTAAATTTAAATAGTCATCTTGCATTCAAATGACCTAAAACACAAGTGGCCTTTTTCAATAAAGGTGAGAAATTCTTAGCTGTTAACTTTAACCACATTAATTAATCCATACTGTATTTTAAAAAGGATTGATGCAAAATGAGAGTTTAATGCAAAAAGATTTTGTTAATTTTGAACTATATAAATAAATAAATAACATTAGGAAGAACATTTCCCCTTTAAAAATGTGGAAAATTAAAATATCTGCTGTTGTGACATTTTGGATTTTTTGGAAACCCTACCTGATACAACAGAATATCATAAAACATTAATATGTCACAAAATAGAAATTCCAATAAAAGAAAGAAATGTTCATTATGTACAATATGAGCTCTTTTATTTAAAAGTGCAAATAACAGAGATATGTTAAGATAATACAGAGAAAATATCCTGTAGATGGTGCATAAAAAGTATTCATAGTAAAACTGACCTACAGTAGATTGCTCTTTTTAATAAAAAACACAGATGCTGGGAAAAAAAAAAAAACCCATACAGAAATCGAAGTACTGTGCAAGAAGTAGGCTTTTGTACAAACTGACATTCAGATACTGGTCTACATGCTAGTCATGACCTCATTTCTTTGGATACTCATTCAGCTCTCATTAATGTCTCGCATTAATGTCTTTTCATGTTTGCTGCTGAGCATTTCAAAGAAACTTCAGAATTACTTATACCCACGGTGCTACTGAGAGGTGAAATTAATTATATCTTGTCAAACATATCATCCCATCTCCCTATAGGTGTACACACTGAGGCAATAACATGTTATCTGGAACAGTTGATGGAATGATACATGGGTTTTGGACATGGCTGACTAAGTTTTCAGCAATTTGCATGACAAATGAAGGTAGATTTGGCCATGTTCCCAAAGCATCCCCACACAGACAGGATTAATGAAAGTCTCTTTCAACAAGGTAAACATATAAAAATTGAAATTTAATTAAATTTGAATCTACCAAAACACCCCTTTTGGGCTTTGATTCTCTTCACTGATGCAGTTGGCAATTTGTAGACTTCTGACTTCCCTGGTCAAACACACAAAGTTTCTACTTTCATTGACAAAAAACAGGTATAACACATTTCAAACCAGTAAAGCATAGATGGATATGTGGCCCATCTCCTCAGTACATCTCCCCCTCCCCTCTGGTTCCCTCCAGTCTCAGGTCTGTGTCATTTCTCCCCAGGGTGAACAGACTAACAACGGCCATCAAAGCTGCCAGCATCATGATGGCACAGCCTCCAAACATGTGTCTGGTGCCACTGCCACCCTCCCCTCCACCTGTTCCTGATACCTCCCCATGGAGGGCAAGCAGCCCTAGGCAGGCCAGCAGGTTCAGAGGCAGCCGGAACCAGGCCAACACACCAGCCCTCTTCTCCTCTGGGATAACCCTGCCCTGGAGAAAACTGACTGCTGGGAAGTAGAGGCCACAGGCAAGCTCCAGCAGCAGGAAGGCCAGAAAGGATTCATGAGGTCTAGGCTGGCCTGGGGCAGTGGAAAAGGTCAGCATGAATAAGGAGAAGAAAGCCATCAGCACAGCCAAGCATAGCACATGGCCAGGCTGTAGACGGTAGCGAGTGGAGGTGGCTAGGCGGTACAGCAAGGAGCCAGCCATGCTGGCAGCCATCAGGCAAGAAAACACTATTCCTAAAGGAGGCCCATGAGGGTCCAGTACTGGGGTCCACAGGAAAACAAAAATGTAGAGGACACTTTCAAACAGAGCCTGCACTCCACCCAAGAGCATGACTCTCCTGTCGGACATCAGGCAGCGCAGCCCCTCATGGCAGCTGCGTGAGAACCGGGCCTTCGCAGACAATCGGGTCACACCTCCATTTGGAGTGCCAAGGAGAAGTGTCTGTTTGCCCCCTTCAGGACCTCCTTCAGCCTCTTCCTTGCCCCAGTCTGTTAGTACCACCCAACCACAGCACAGCAGGCAGGGGACAGCCAGGAGAAAGGGAGCCACTGGCCCAAGGTGGAGCCACTCAGCCAGCAAGTTAGCCACCAGCCCTGCTCCAACAGCAAGCCCATGGTTCCAGGTAGCGGCTTTGGTGAAGGTGCTGGGGATCCACTCCTTGGGAAAATCATGGACGTCTACATGTCGGTACACGTACCAGGCTTCAAATGAGGTGGTGAGCAGGGATGTGGACAGACCCCCCAGGACACGGCCCACAATCAAAACAAAGTAGTCTCTGGACAGCTTTGTGAGACAGCAAGCAGAGTAGGACAGGCAAAAGAGAAGACATGTTTGTCTGCGGCCCAAGGCTTGAGGGAGCCAGCCTGAAAAAGGAGCAAACAGAACACAGGAAGCCAGGCCACACACATATAAAATGGCTATTTGGGATTCCAGGAAGCTGTAGTGGCGATAAAGTTTGTAGAGGTAAGGACCCTGGAGCCAGTCTGCCCACAAAGCCAAAAGGTATGCCCGGAGGAATATACTCTGGAAGCGACGGAAGGCTGGGTTGGCTACAGCGGTAGGAGTAGACTGAGGTGGGGTGAGGCGGCGTGCTGTGATCTCAAGGCCGACACACAGGGCAAGCAGGAAAATGATGGCAAGATATGTTGTCACCAACATGGTGTCATAAACTGCACTTGAAATCAAACCTGAGGTCTCAGGGCGTTTTCAACTCTTTTCTTTCTGTTTCTCAGCACCTGTGGAGAGACAAGGTGAATAAGTATATACAGGCATAAGAACAATGCTGAAATTAGTGTCTGATTCAGCAATTAGGGGAAACTTAAGGTAAAGAGTGTTCTTAAGTAAAACTTTCAGATTTGTAAAACCTTTAATTTAAAACAATAGAGACTCAAAATAGATCCATAGGTATAATATCTCTTGTATATACTATACAATGGTGGTAATACAACACCTTATAATACAATGTACATTAGTGCAAGTCAGGTGGATGTACTGTAGAGTCGCATAACCCTTGTAAGATCAGATTTATGTGATATACAACCGATGTGATACATAAAGTCCATGTAAGCGGGTTGTGTGAACATTGTACAGACTGATGGCAGCTGGCAAGACTGACTTCCACTAAACCACACTTAGGGTTAGTTTGGATAAGTCCAAAGTGTAATGGCTTTTGATCTAGACCTGGTCTGCGGTCTAGCTGGGAAAGCTTTCCACAACTGCGGCAAGTGTAGTGACAGAGGAGTGTTACATTACTGCTGGATAACTTACGATCACCTTACAAACGATCGAGATAACAGGAGTGCGCCGCAGCTCACAAAACATGATCTTATAACGACTTTGGAAATTTGTCTGACAGTGAAATAGCTTGAAAAGCCGTTTGGTGTGAGGTCGGCAGTAGAGTTAGTTGCTTGACTTGTCAATTTGGTGCTAACGTGGCTAATAAGCTCTACTTTTAGATATTTGGTTACTCAACAAAACGGCATTAACTAGCTATAGAAATATCACTAATTTTAACTGCATTAATACCTTAAATACTGATTAGTGACGTGCTATTGCTATTTAGCTATCGCTAGCCTACAAGCTAACCTGCTACTAAAATAAACCCGTCAGAACTTGCGCCTCTATCCTATTTGTTTTCCACTATACTGTATCATACTGTCTGATATGTCTTACCGTGTGGTGTGACAGCGCTCCCATATTAATGACACGTCGTAGAAAGTAATGACATCAAACTTAACTAGCTAAGTGATAGGGAAGGGTACAGCTAAGGAAGTATGTCTTTAGCAAACAGACCGGTCACTTCCGGTATCCGGCGTATATTATTTCACCACAAGGTGGCATTCCTACTTTGTTTTTTCATTTACAGAGGTAGGAGAGAGTTGTTGCATGTCTCCAGACACCCCGCGTTTCATTGCTAGCAGCTCGTCATTTGAGGTAAGTATGATTTGTAGTTTTTTTTCGTGTTTTCTGATCAAATCGACACAGACGCCAAAAACGTCCAGCTGTGTACAACATAACATAATCGTCATCAACTATGTAGTTTAATGCTGTCTAACCTGGATTTCTTACCTGGATTTCATGCATGGATTTCAATGCAATCACCATTTAAGAGGAGTTTAACATCCACACTCTAACTGCACACAGGGTAGGCTATAAACGTGTGTTAATTGTGATAACTCCAACATAACTTTCAGTTACATTACACATTTTCCCTATCTGCACAGGCCTGACTACTCGGCGCATCTTATAAATGGACACACAAAAGAACAACACACAAGTTGAATAATACATAATTTGAACTTTATATCATTATATCATTTCTATTTAGGAAGAAAGATTTACAAAATGTACAAGATGTGCTCGATCAGCCATAATCAAACAAGCAAACAGTGAGAAGACCAATCAAACAAGATCTCTCACCCAAAAATGTCTCTTGTGTTTGTATGACAAACATTGGGGGCAGAGGAGGGGTGGATGTGGAGTGAGTGCTGGTGATTTCAGGGATTATGCTGGTTGGTTACATCATCTGATAGCAGGAAGTGTGTCTAAGCCGTCTGAGAATCCCCACTACTTATTCTCCTGTGAAAAGCCCCATTGGCATGGCCAAACCCCCATCTAGTACAGGAAGGTCAGTACATTCTTCTTCACACCGAACTCATCTGTCCGATCCATTATATATATCAGTTCAGTCATTGATACATAACATTGGGGTAAAATAATATTTACAGCAACAAAAATCAACAAAGGAACTACAAAACCCAACATGCATGGAGCAACTCCATCTGTCCAGATGTGATACAATATACGCAGACACAATGTTTTTGTGAAATCATAGAAAATACCATTGACTAATGAAGTTGGCATGTTGAAACCCAAGGTGTGTCAAATGTTATCTGGAAGATTAGTCAAAATTGTGCACAAGTGACACATTAAAATAGTGGTCTCATTCCAGTGCTAATGCAGATGGCATGTTTGTGAAACAGTGATACACAATTACCTTAAAATTTCAGATTTTGCTATGTATTATATACAGGTTCCCTTTCTCTTAAACACAAACTGACATGAAGTCAATCATCACTAATGGTCCCTAAGTAATAACTGTTTAAATCTATGATATCCGTCTCAGCTGCAGCTTAGTGATGGCCTGTTTATACTGTATGATTTAAGGAATAAACAGAAGTGAACTGGCTTTTATTCTTAAGTATGCTGGATAATGAACAAATGCACAAATGATCTGTCCAAAAGGGTAATAGTAACTCTACAGAATTATTTATTTTTTTACTGGAACATTGTCTTTCAAGAGGTGTTGAGGTTTAAGTGTATACATGAGTTTGTATGTGTATGCTCATTTGTCCCAAAGCATTGCATGAAGATTAATAGTGAATCAAAAGTAGGCTTACCACTGCCCTCATTTATCCTTTTGAGAAACACTCCTCAGATTGCAATATTCCTTGTTCCTCAATTTTAAAGGAGGTCGTGCCCTCGGAAGATAATGTGTGTGTGTGTGCGCGCGCGCGTGCGTCGTACTGTATATGTTGTGTAAAATAGTTTGTCTGTGTGCTCTGTGAACAAGTGGCCTGCTCAAGGGTCAATGCGAAAGGCCAAAAGTTTGTCGGAGTGCAGATTGTTGAGGGTGCGCAGGTCCGGCAGGCGCAGGAGGAGTTTGGGGAAGAGGGCGGTGTCATCTGGACGACGTTGGGTAATCAGTGACCGTAGGGCACGAATCAGACCCTCTTGGAGCTGCTCTACAGCCCACATGTCCGAGATCCCAGAACGGTCTGAGGAGCACAGAGGATGCCAGTGTGAGTTGTTGACAGACACAGTTAATACATAATTAGCTCATTAATGTGTCACTGCTCTGCAGCTTTTGCCACAGTTTTACTTCTCATTAAGTAAAGTGTGCCCCTCTCTCACCTGCAGAGACCAGCACCACAGCCATGAAGAGAGCCATTTCATCAGGCTCTAGCCTCAGGGAACCCAACTTCTCACTGAACTCAAACATTGCGTCCAGCAGGGAACCCATGCCCAAAGCCCGCAGGGTAGACAGGGGGTAAGTTTGGCCATTTAGAAAGGTCACCGTACGCTCCTCAGCATTGAACAATGTGCAGAATCTCACCATCAGAACCTAAACACACAAGTGATGAGAGAAAAAAGAGGAGGAACGCAAAGATTAGTTTGAGATAAATACTTACACCAACAATATTAACATATAACATTTGAACTCATAAGGAAGGAGTCACAAATTCTGCATTTCTTACTAGCAATATTAATCATTTGAAATACATGTCATTACCTGGAAGGTGCCTGATTTGAGCAGCATGACCTGGTCTTGTTGGCTAAGCTCTTGAAATCCTGGGATGCCCTTTGCAAACTCTACAACCTCCTTGACAGCAGGAGTGAAACAATGAGAGAATGATTCCCATATCTCTTGACTCGTACGCTCTACCCCTGATACAGGGCACGCATTGAGAGGACAGGCCTTAAAGAAAGACAAAAGACATAGAAATAATGAAAAATGATTGATCAAACAAGACAACATGGGACTTTTAATCTAATTTAGTATGCTCCCTGCACTTACCAGCACTTTAGCTCCCTGAGCTAACTTCCATGGGCAGGAGGGCTGATTTGTGGCACTTCCTGCGTTGCGAAAACTGTTATGATCGGCAGAGCTGCCCCTTTGAGGTGTTGTTCCATTAGACTGGTGATGGTTCTGGTTTGTTGACACTAAGTAGGTGTAGCGATTGTTATCCACATTGTGGAATGTAGGTTGGTTGTCATTAGGGACAACTGGGCATAGAGTGGCAGGGGCAACAGGGCAAGACTGATAACTCTGGGCGGAGTTGGGGTGAGATGAGACTTGAGGGAAATTGGCATCCTGAGAAAAGGGAGATGTGTTTTTGTTGGTGGTGATGTTAGCCCTCTTGGCTACTCTCTCCTGGCTGCTGGTGTTGCTGCTGGTGAAGATGTCACGGTAGGCTCTGGAGATGGCCCCAATGGCCTCTTTTGAGTTGCCATCTTCTGGGCTGGGGGGAGCATCCCTCACCGAAGATGAGTCCATGTCCATGGCGGCCGACTCATTTAGACTGTTCATGTAGCTCTGCATCTCATCCAGAAGTCGCTGCTTCTCTCTCTTAGGGATGCGGCCAAAACGTACAGCTATGGAAGACACAAACAGTGAGAACAGATCAGCCTCCAGTCACTGTGACAACTTCGACATTTTTGTGATTTTTTTTAAGACTAATTTGAGATAAATGTTATATATATAATTTTGCTTGTATAGAATGCTCACTGTCATTCTACATTAACATAAAGATACAAGCACTCGAATGACAACCAAGACAAATTCATATCTTTAAGATCAAGAGGCAGGTGCATTCTTCACATACAGTGTTGCTATTTAGAAAGCACAGGACTGCTAGTGTAAATTATATTGGCTATAATTGAAAGCTAACCATGGTGAAAAAGTTACTCATTACACCTCCTTATACAGATGCACAGATCAAAAGCACAAACAACTTCTAAAGTTTTGAATGATTTCAAGGAGAATCACACAAGCTGTGAGATGAAAACTCCCCATCCCCCTTCCCACAGTAACCATCAGCTGGAGAGGCTATTTATAGACCCCCTGCTACCATCTGCCTCATCCTCTCCTCTATCCACCCCTGGCTCCTTCCTCTCCCTCTCCCTCCCTCCCTCCATTTGTAAGTAGGGCAGTGGGACAACGTGAGCGTGATGTCACTGGCACTTGGATCATAAGAGGGAGAAGGATGAGAGAGGTGGGCTTGAAGAGCATAAATGAGCTTAGGAGAGAGTAGTGAGTAAGTGTAGACTGATGTGAGAGACGGTGATACATTGAAAGTGAGAGTGTGTCTGTGTGTGTGTGGGGGAGGTGTGTGTGTGTGTGTGTGCAAGTTGGAGTTAGATGAAGCAGAAAAGTTGATCTGGTACAGCTTCAAAGATTTTTGTGGGTATAGTGTACATGATTTTTTTTTGTTGTTGAGTGGAGCAGAAAATTTATATGGCAGCATAATATTTGTAAAACAATGTACAGTTTTCCCTTGTGTTAAATATAACCACTTTACATAAAAACATATCATGTTGGGTCAAATGAGGCAATTTACTTTACCCAGTAATATGCACAGTAGATATTATGTATGTTACCAAATATACAGTACTCTGTTTTCTGCCAGCATAGCATGAGATTAATCCCTTTCATCATGGTTAAAAAGAGGCAAAAGCGGACTAATGAGCTGTTGTCCTAAAAATGTTGCTCTGGTTAGAAGAAGAAAAGTGTGCCGTCATGCCAACTGACTTAAATATTTGCCTATATTATAGAGCCAAAGTCACACAGCTGCCTGGTGTGAAATCAGGGTGTACTATTTATTGTGGGCTGCAGGCAGTTGCATGCGGTTTTCCTGTTTTTGTAATGGTTGAAACAGAGCAAAAAGGGGTTTCTAGGTTGTGGTCCCTAACGCTTTCTAAAATCTACCCGATGAGGGTCAATTTGACTGTTCGTTCTCTTGTTTAGTTGCATTTTGACACCCTATTTTCTCTCTCAACCAAAAGTGTCAAGCACATGCAGAAATAACACTAACCTCTTTACTAGATTAGGCAATGCAGGGTACCGGAGGGTGGAGATAAGCAGAAACCATACTGAGAGGCAGAAGACAGGAAAACTACACCAAGTAGGTCATGATGTATGAGTACACTACAGGCCAAATTCTGCATTGTTTTTCTAGGTCAGCGCTGCTGTTTTCTTAATCTATGATCATAGGTGATCAATCAATGTTCAGCTATCAGTGCTAAAACTAGGCTGATAAATTCTGTCACAACAACTGGCTGTTTTTTTTTTTTTTGCATCCCTTGCTTAATTGTTGCCCCTATCCCTCATTAATTGCAGTAAGATGTTATATGGGCAGATACAAGGTAATCAAGTTGACCCTGTTCCAATTTCCTAAAATAATTCCTGTGTTTGCTGCAGTTTTCTAGATGATAGATAGCTTCGGGGACTTCAAGGCTCCTCTTCTCATAAATCATTGTCTGAGGGGGAGATGTAAGAGAGCTGAGGGGACATGGAGGAGGAGGGGCTGAACTGAACAAGAGTTTAGAGGTAACAGTACTGTGGGAAGATGCTGCAAAGGGCAGGGGAAAGACACTGAGAAACTTAAGAGAGTGATACAAGGCCAGATGGAAATCTTTGGTAGTGCAGACACAGTAGAAGGGCAAGGCAGGTGCAGGTCTGCTGATCGAGTGAGTGCCTGAGCTACTGGCACGATGACCTCAAAAGACTTTCCGCATTAAATTTTTCACACAGACCTACATATCAGTGCTGCTCTTCTTTCTGGCTGCCCATTTCCCTGCTGCTTTGGCTAATCAGGGCACTGTGGTATTCTGGCAGAACTACACGAGGGTCTCTCTCATTAAAAATGTGTCAGGATGTCTCACCATCTCTTGACATGCCAACAGAGAGGCATTTCTTGAAGCGGCAGTGCTGGCAACGGTTTCGGTTCATGCGCATGATCAGACAGTTCTCATTCTTCACACACATCTTGTAGTTGATGTTCTGCTGGATGCTGCGGCGGAAGAAACCCTGAAACATAAATATATATGCATATATTAGATTAAACTGGTGTACCAAGAGCAACACATTGTTTAGTTGTTCCACAAAGTTTGTGTGATCAGGACTTACCTTGCAACCTTCACATGCATGCACTCCATAGTGGAAGCCAGATGCTATGTCCCCGCAGACTTTGCAAAGCAGGACCATTCCACCTGTTTCTGAGGAAGGGCAAAAAGACAGTTAGATAAGCTGCAAAAACTTACATCAAGGGATAAAAAATAAATCTTTATGCATATTGACAGTGAGGAAACACTAACTGGTGAAAGTTCCCGGGAAACCGCACGGCCTCTTTCCTGCGATGGGGTGTGCGTAGGTATGCTGTGGAGTGGCTGCTACCGAGGGGCTGCTGTAGACCTCTGGGAACTGGAATATCAGTTTGGAGGATGGGGTGGTGCACCCAGCTGCCCTCTGTTTCAGTGGCCCAATCTCTGTTAAGGTAACCTCCTCTGGAGATGAGGGCTGGGAGTGCGAAGAGGGTGACTGCGTCTGGTACCCACTGGAAGGACTGCCAGGGCTGGGACTGGCACTGCCAGAGGAACCTGCATACAAGATGACTCCACCTCCTGCAGACATGGGGAAGATTGGAAGACGTCAGACCTCTGAGCTGAGATTTCAGATTCTATTTGAGCTCCTAATTAAAGCATATAATTAAAGCATACATCATCATTCAGATATCGATAAGAAGTGGCATTCATTTTTGTATGCCATATATGTAGACTACTGTAAATTATTGGCTGAATTCATCATTTATAAACGTATCATAAAATTAAGCTGGCCATCAATATCTCCTTAGAAACCGTTCAGCTGCTCTACAACGTTGGATGTGATGTGATGTAATGTTGCACAACCTCTGGGCAGCAGAGAACAGCTCCGAGAATTTGCAGCGTCGTTGCCTCATCCTGAGTGTAATAGGCGTAATGGTGCGCTCAAGCGGATAAAGTGGGCGCTAAAAATACTGCTGGTAGCACAGCAACAAAGCAGGCAGGCTTCCTCTGGAAGCACCAACGAAGCGCTGCTTTCTGTTAATAATTCCTGTCTCATGCCAATGCAGTATTTATATGGGCACCATATAGATATGTGGATTTTTTTTCCCGTTCAGCTGTGTGTTTACGTTTTCTTCCCTGAAGTTTCGCTTTCCTCTCTCTCTCTCTCTCTCTCTCTCTCTCTCTCTCTCTCGCTCTCTCTCTCTCTCGCGCGCGCATTTCTAGTCATGCGTTGTGGATGAGCTGAGACACGGCCTCACGTGTCTGCGGGGTCTGCTGCCTCCTCCGCTCCAATAATAGCCTCGCTCCCCTGGCACCGTGCCCAGCGCCAGCTAACAGCACGACACCTGACCGCCGCCTCACATGCATGGGCTCCTGACACGGTTACTGGCCGAACCAAATCCGCAGTCCCGTGTTGAAATATACAACAATCTGAAGTCAGAGCTGTGTTTATAAACATACGCTGACTGGGAAGCTACCCGGGCATGAGATGGCACAAAGTCTCAGCCACTGCTGTTCATGCGCCACCATCAGTTGGAGAATGTGAGTCACGTTTTTGCAATGGAAAAGCCTCAACTGTAGGCTATGACTGGACTGCTGTAATAATGTAACTCAGTGTACAGTAGAGTCCAGCAGAGAGATGCTCAGAATGACAAATTATATGCAAACTGAGGCAAGCATTCAAAGTAACAGAAACAAATATGGGCCCAATTTAAAACTTCCTTCATGATTGGCTTACACATGCAACATAGGATTTAACAAACATCCGAAATACATATGGTATAGTGGTTAAGCCAACTCTGCCTTGTTTGTGGAAAATCATGCATAAGTGCAGCAGGCTGGTCCCTGTGTTGCTGTGTCGCCCTTTGCTGCACAAAGTATTTGTTTAGCTCAAATGTTTTGATAATCCCTCAACCAGCACGTGTTGGTGGATTTGTTGACTCATGCCAGAGCCATAGACAGAACCAGCAGACACAAGTCTGAGCCTCACCTCTTCCTGAGCTTACATGTAGACAGTGGTGGCCCAGCCCCCACTCAAACACATTGCTTGTCCACCTGAAGACTCACATGTAGCCTACAGTGTTTATGAATGACCCCGAGAGCCACTGTGCTGTAAACACTGTCAATTAACAATCCGTTTTACAGCCTGCTTTCCAGTAGTGATGGGCGGGTACCAAAACTATCACCTGCATGTATCAAGGTTAATACAGTTCCAATCTACAATGAAAACATTGCAGAAAGCTTCAACTGATTAGGTGTTAGGCAGCATTACTGTTTATATTTGTGTTTTTATTGGCAGCCTGTAACATCAACCAACTTCTATACTGAACTGTTAGGAGATATATTATATTATTATATGCAGTTCCTCTTATTTCCATATAAAAACATTCAAATTTGTTGTTAGTGAAATATGTTGGTAACTATAGGTGACTATCCTGCTGGTCAGCAGCCACATGCAGGCTGTTGCAGCTACATCAAACTTCACATGGTTTTCTTGGAGGATTTTATATCTTCTATGGGATTTCCCACACAGACCAAACAGGATTGCCATGCACACTGTCACAGAGTGCACAAGACAGTTACAATTTAGGTCACAGCAGACAGCATTAATTGTGGAGTCAATCAGTCCTCAGTGCCCATTTTAAGCTTAGCCTACCCGTGCAAGCACTAATCTGCCTGGGACTGGAGGCAGGCAGAGAAACGTGAGCAGTGAGCAGTTCACAGGCACAACAGCTCCTCTCTTCTTTTCTCTCTTTTTCTCTCTCGTCCTTTATCTTTCACTTTCACTGGTTCACTGAAATGCAGGACATGGAGAGACAGCCACAGATAGCCTACAGTTAAAGTGACCATAGTGTATGCCTGCCCTTGTGGTGTAGGGTTTATAAAAACATGGGCTATAGGATGGATTCCTGAGAGCAAAAAAGTGTTCATTATGCTATGCCAGTACATATGTATGGCCAATAAAAAGAAACATAGTGCTACTGAACACAACCAGTCTGTGAGCACTACTTGGGTGTTTGCAGTAGACTTCATTAACTCAGACTGTAAGTAGGTCAATATCACAGGAACTTGATCAAATTGTGTCCATGTGCCTCCAGCATCTCTCCAGACTGGTGCTGCATCAAGCTCTGGCTCAAGCAGTTATCAGGACAGACTGTGTTAGATTGTTACAGTCGATAGTCATAATTTATAAATGGCAGACTGTGATTTAAAATCAGTACTTAAATACGCTGGGTGTCATGGTTGTTGTGGCTGAATTGGTCTGGCACTCACTCTGTGTCAAACACGGACTGAAAACATCCGTTTCAAGGTTATGCGATTTTATCAGGAGCAGAGTTTCAGCCTCTCAGAGATTTAATCCGCTATCTGTTTCAGCGCAGCGGATGAGAGGAGAGATGTTATGTTTAACAGCAGAGTCACGTTCCAGCTGAAACACACCCTGGGCGTATGTGTGCCCTGAGCCGATGGGCTCGGGACAGATGTTGCAGAGTCAAAACTGAGTCAGCTTCAACCACACTGCAAGGTCTCTGATCCAAGGGAGGGAGGGGGCGGTTGATTTCAATACAAGCAAACGGCGCATGAGGCGGGCAAACGTGACGAGAGAGAGAGAGAGAGAGAAAAGTTAATGCTTGAAATCGCTGACCCACTGACCAAGCTCTCCCTCACCATCACCGCAGGCGGCATCAACACAGAGGCGTCCGTGAGAGCGGGGAAGCAGCGGGAGGCGGGAGGCGGGCCCGGCTATCTCACGCGTCGCACGCGGCTCTGCAAGGGAAGCCACGTGAGGAGGCTTTTGACGGAGCTTTCACTGGGAAGACATGAAGCTGCAGCTCCTGCCAGGAGCCAGAGCTCCTACAGTCCGCCAGGGGCTTATAATTGAAGAGCCAAATTAAATAGACCAGCATGTTATGCGCCGGGGTGGTCTGAGTGTGCACCACCAGCAGCACCGTCTGCACTGTCAGCTAGGCGCTTTATAAACAGTAGGGTGAAATTTATGTGTCAGCATGTGGCCAGACCCAAGTTTATATACTGAAGAACTGCACAAGATCATAAAATTCTTCTAAAACCACCTAATTTCAGGTGAATTACAGGCTGGTACATTTTGTGGCCTATACAGTTAAGTTGTTTTCTTCAGTCTGTTTTGGTAATGATACAGTTAAATGTATTGGAATAGGGGAGAAGGAGTTCAGTTGTAACACAGATCAGTTGTACCACTCAGTTTCTCCCATTCAGAAACTCAGTGATGTCAGTAAACCCTGTTCTGCATGTCCTGTTTGCAATCCAGGAAAAAGACACATTCATATTTTTGTGGACTCACATGTCTGTCTTTTTTAATACCTTCATTGCCCATATATTTTGGAGATGCTAGAGTTTTTGATGATAAGTGTGGTTATCTTATACTACACAGCTTGTAATATAGATTATAATATCATGGCTGACTTTATGGAGTTATGAATTTTGTTGTTGGCAACACTTGATCCTTACTGATGGGTTTTTTCCTGAAATTTTTTGTCAGCGATGTAAACTTGGAAACCATAGTAATGACGGTTTCCAATTGATGGCGAGGAATGGCCTGGAGTTAGGGGTCTGTGTACTTTAATCATGCTGAGAATAATGCAGAAAAGCTCCACCAAGGGAGTGTCAGTGGAAGTTTTAGTGAAAAAACAAAGTGCATGAAGTTACGTAGTGGTCAGTGGGGAAAGTCTGTTTTTACTATACGAGCACCATTTCACAACCAAATGTGACCTACTCTAATAGCATACTAATACAATTATAGTGTTACTGAGAAAAATGTTGGTGTCAAGGAAGACTAAATATTTGCAGTGTTACAACACCGTATTACAACTGACCTTTAACGTGAGGTCAAGGTTGTACAAGTCAGTTTGGATTCTGGCAAATATTCCATAATGCATGTGTGAAGATGGACTGTACATTTTCAGATATTAGCTGGACTGACTTTTGGCTTGCCAACATTTGCAATGATATAAACAATGTTACAAGTGACCCTAGCCTCCCCTGCTTTATGTTTATAAGAGTCAGTGGAAATACATAATAGGCCTATACTGTTATGGCAGTATTTATCTGCATATGATCTACTTGGGCCCATTTTGTATGTTATATGGCATATAAGACATGCAGCTCCCCCACGCCCTCAACCCAATCATCTCTACACACACACACTCACACACACACACTCTCATTTTATCTGCTGGACTTTATGAGCCTTAGAGCCCACCACTGCAGCCATATATTTGCCAGGTTATGATGAAGTTTATGAGCTTTGTTTAGATCACACTGAACTCATGAGTAAAATGAAGCCATGCGCATTCCAGTAAGCTTATTGAAATATTAATGGTCAGTGAACCCAGTTCAAGGTGGTCACTTACATTTAGACCAATGAGAGGAAGAAAAAGTGACACAACACTTACAGAAATTTGAAAAATGCACTGTAAATAAAAGCAATAAAAATACACAAATAAACAGTTGAATAAACAAATAAAAACGGGCCGTTGCCAACTGGACACACACACACACACACACACACACACACACACACACACACACACAATCACCAAACACTAATAAAACACCAACACTACAGCTAATACTACAGCTATTATCTCTGATTACACATTTAACTGCCTCGCGTGTTCGCTGAAAAACACTGGCCCACTTTATCAACATAAATAGAAAGTCATAACCCGGTGAGTGGTTTTAGTGTTGTGTTGTGTTCAGATTAGAGTAACATGTTGACGGAGCACAGGGTGCGCCCGTCACCTGTGCTGGAACGTGACCGTCGCTGTTGTAAATGATTCACCGTCAATTAACAGAGGAAAACAGAGAGCATGTGCACCTTTGGCTGACCTCGAGAAAACGCTGCCTAATACCACTTAACGGATGTGAGTCCTGCCGTTATCAACTTTTATACTGCTGCCACTTCAGTGATGGCTTTGATAAAACACACAAACACGCCCTTAACGCCAGAGTTTCCTTGTTTTCCCCCGTGAGATGATAGCGGGTCGGTGCGCAGTTAAAGTTGTGCTTCTGACAGATTATGATCACAGTGACAGCCAGTGTACTGTAGCTCCACGTGAGTTTGTTTTCATGATGAGAAACAGGAAGTGGACAGCCTCACTACAGCCATATGGCGCGGTTCGCTGACAGTAGAGCTGCAGTCCGGGCGCTGCGTTTTGACGTTTAAACGCAGTGCAGCAACTTTTTGACAACTTTGCGCAAAAATGTTGCGGTTTACACTTCTATCAAACACAGAAACAAGCTGAAGGGACTAAATCTAAGAGCAGCGAACTCGTGCATGTAAACCTAATATTCCCAAACAGTGATAAAAGCTATAAAGTTACTCAGCTCAGTAATTAGTTCATTCTAAAAAATTGCATGCAAAAGTGATGTTTCGTGCTCTTACTGATGCATGTGATACATGAAACAACATAATTACCAGTTATGCACATATTTGAAAACAATGCATTTTGAGCTTTGAGGGGTGGTTTACAAAACCATTCAAATATTAGAATGAACATTAGAAATTCTGCTTTGCGTTACATTAATTAAAGATGTATTATATTATATTAGATAGATAGATAGATAGATAGATAGATAGATAGATAGATAGATAGATAATACTTTATTTATCTCCAAGGGGAAGGTTTAGGGTTAAAATCAAATTTAAGTTTTAATGATAAATAAAAATAATGTTAGGCAGCGCTCAATTGCTTTAGCCATTTGGTATCAACATGAATAAAAGAATGAGCCGTTAATCAGGTTTGACACTTACTTCATAATCATCATTGCTATCATAATGGAGCGGTTGCTGCATGCAAGTTAACATCATGTTAAAATGAATCTTACCGCCACCAGGGCTGTTGTCCATGTCTCTTGTTGATGTCGATGACATAAAATGAACTTGAAGACAGACGTCAGTGAATGTCACTAGACTGGAGCAAAAGTCTTTTGAATACAGGTGAGAAAGTCAAGAAACAGCTTTGTGTAAAACACCTGCTCCATGGAGCGCAAAAAAAAATTTGGGAAGCAGTGATGGAAACGCGTCCAGTGCGCGTGAAGTTGTTCCCAGTAAAGTGTAGGCAGGTGTCTCTCTCAGTGCTCAGTTCGTTTCTGACAGAGGTGTGTCAGACAGGCAGGACTCCCCAAAGATACCTGGATGCCCTCTGCGCTCTGGATACTGCGCCTCAGCTCGAGCGCATGCGATGTTGCACGAGCGAAGATTAAACGATTCTCATGAATTCCAAGAAAGTAGAGTCAGCATATCCGTGAACGGAGTGTCAGGCATGACATACACACCCACTGATACAAACACCCACATCAATCACGTTTGCAGGTGAGTTGGAAATGTGACCGCCTTTCCGTTCTCCAACTTGTGTTGTGTCTGTTTGTGTGGGATTTGGCTCACTCTTTGTATCTGGCTGAGTCCTTTCTCTCCCTCTCTCTCCTTCACGCTTTTGTGCATTTTCATTGGCGGGGATCTAGAGCTGAGGGGAGTTTGATGCGCTTATTCGACCGTGGTATGTGTTCAGTAAAGCCACGCTACATGTGCGCTCTGCATGTGCCGGCGAGAGCGCTGCCCTACTGATACACATTTTATGCAAAATACGGAGCGTGTGGTGCGAAGGGATGGAGAGATTGGTGGATGAAGCACATGGACAATAGGCGTGGCTCACCGTGACTGCTTGTTCTGTGACAAGCAGCGCTGCAAACGGATGGTAAACACTGAGACATGCCAAACATCGGGTAAGTGCCAAGTTTAAAGCCCATGTGCCAAAGGAAACTGTAGATGCGCAACTGGACCTGTGACCCGCCAACAACACGCTACTGGAGTAAACCCTAAACACTCAACTGAGGTTGAAATTCCGCTTACTAAAAAACGTAAATCTTTTTTTATTTTTTATATATATATATATATATTTCTGACTGATTATTTTTCGCGTTAAAAAAACTCGGTCTCCTCTGAGGGGGAAGTCAACTTTCACTTAAAAAAGCAAACAAGCTTAGTCCTATGTTCAAATTTAGTTTTTAACATTCAGTCAGCAACAAACTGTCGCCTGACTGAACCTGCAGGACCAACCTACACACAGCTTGAGGAAAGCGCCTCCCAGTGGCAAACCAAGGCACTGACATGAACAGGATTCTATCTATCTATCTATCTATCTATCTATCTATCTATCTATCTATCTATCTATCTATCTATCTATCTACACAAGAGTTCACTTAAAAGGTGACGTTGCAGACAAATATACTGAAAAAAGCAAACAACAAGAAAAACAAAAAACAAACAAATCAAACCCAGCACACTTTTCTTTATCTTGTCTCCATTTCTTTTTCAATGTTTCGACCCGCAGGTAAAGTCTGGGTATTGTTACTCAGTGCTTGCAAAAAAAAAAAGAAAAACTAATTGAAAAGTGAACGTGAGTCTGCCGTCTGATGATTTCCTAATAGCCTATTGCTAACATAGGAGTTTTATTTATTTTCTTAAGACCTTTGAGTTCATTCTCGATAACAATTCATGCCTATCTATCTATCTATCTATCTATCTATCTATCTATCTATCTATCTATCTATCTATCTATCTATCTATCTATCTATCTATCTATCTATCTAATATCTAATTCTATCTAATTAATTGCTTTAATGACATGTTCGAACTGATTAGTCCAAAACAAGTATATGATTACTGGATGAGATAGTCATTAGGATTATTCTATGATTGTAATGTTGTAATGGCATTATTAGTTATGACATTATCACGGGCCAGGGGGGTGGATTTGCTGTTTATTCACTTCCATAAATAAATATTGACTTATTTTGTTACTTTCATATTCTTGCATTAATTGTTTTCTTTGTTTCTTGTGTTTCCATCTCTTCCCATCCGCCCTGACAGCATGAGTGCTGCAGCCCTCCCTTCCATCACTAGGGGGCGCAACAGTGTCATAAATCTTCACGCTCGGTAGCTCCCATCGACGCCCCTGAGCTGCCGGGACTCAGTGACGGATTGGCAACAAACGAAGGTAATCTGACAAATGACTGAAATGATCTCTGAAGCGTAAGAGCAAATGGCGTGATCTTTACGAGCCGCCGAGCCGTAATGGAGGATCCCTCTGAAGACTGTCCATGACTTTGTTTTGTCTCCTTCACAGAAAACTTCGCCGTGCGTGCGCTTGTCATCCAACTATTTACGCTTCAAACTTCTGGGGGGATGTGCTCGCGTTTGAAGCTCCGGGCTGAGAAGGTAGGCTTGTGTACTTTACATAAATCATCTCCTGTCGTGATTAATTGGATGTGTCTAAGAATAAACGAAGCTCAAGCTGCGTCAATCGGTGTGTGTGTTTACTGTATGTGTGTGAGTAAGACTCACGCACCCATCATGAGAACACGTTATGGCAGGGCACGAGATAATTACAGGCTGGTGAAACTGTTCGGGGACTGAGCAGAACAGGAATCGCTGCCAACATACACACCTGCAAAGCACTGCTTAGCCCGAGGCTTAAAAGACACTCTTCATCACTGTCTGTCTGTCTGTCTGTCTGTCTGTCTGTCTATCTGTCACCCAGCCCCTAACCACCAACAACCCCCCCCCCCCACACACACACACCCACACACCTTGTTGAATGTGTGCTTTATGAGAATGATGCCAGTTAAGTGTGAGGCTGATGAGAGTCTTAAGTTTATTCCAGGCTGAATCTCGCAGTTTGTTTTAAATCAGCTTGCAGGGCGGTTGATTAAGATCAGGAAAGCAAAGCAAATGAGCAAAGAATGCAGAAAATTTTCCAGTAGTAGACTGTGTGGAATTAGCCCCATGATCAGCATCTGTGCAGAAAAACAGCAAACACAGGCCTGTGTGTATTCTCAACATACAAAACATACATCGTACACATATTCATATACCGACGCAACATGCTAAAAAAGCAAAAGCAAATAAAAACTTTTAAACTTTTTTTCATGTTTCCTGTGCAGTATTTAGTGCCCAGCTTTCTCACAAGGGCAGTTTTATGTGCAGGGAAGGAGGCATGGAAAAGAAGACCTTTCCTTTTGAGCTCACAGATTTGCAGTAATTACAGAATCACTTCCATATGTGGCTCTCTGGCTGCCTTCTCGCTGCCCCCACCACCCCTCTCTTCCCCAGTGTTCTCTCTCTTTCTCTCTCCCCTTTTTCATTTGCATTCTCCTCGATTCCTCTCTTTGTCTGCTTTTATTTTTCTGGCTTCCCCTCATGTACTCGGAGCATTTTTTTTTTTGTAAAACCACAGCTTAAACAAAGTTTATGATAATCAGAACATCCTGGCATTTTTGGCAAATGGCTGCGCTTTTTGGTGATTCAATTAGACCACGCTTGCCAAAAAAAAAAAAAAAAAAAAGAGACTGCGATTCAGGGAGAGGTTCAGTGAGAGAGAAAAGAGACATGGACGGGAGAGGGGAAATGTTGAAGAATACGGAAATATGAAAAAGAGGAAAGAAAAAGAATGGGAGCTCGGTGAAGAATTTGAGAGGCAGGAACGGAGCGTGAAGGAGGGAGAGGTGGAACAGAAAATGAGGCAGAGAGAGGGAGGGCTGGAGTAATGCTTTTTGACAGAGGTGGGTTCAAGATGGGTTCATGGTGACATCATGGCTGATTTTTGAGGAAAGTATAGACAGGAGAGCCGTTCACCTTTCATTGGACACACATGTTGGGGAATAGGCAGGAGCGCTCATGTGCTGGCACACACACTGGTAGCTGTGTCGACAACCTCTGAATGCAACCCAAAATATGCACAAAAAAACTCACTCCTCTTTTTATTTTCTCTTTCTCTCCCTCCTCCCCGTCTCTTTTTCCCTTCATCTCTGCTGCAGTAAAAAAGCTTTTGGCTCTCACTCACTCTTTTCCAAGCTTTGTGCTCATTTGTTTTTGTTAGAGGAGTACATAGTGGTATATGCCCTTCGGTCCCTAACACATACATTTCTCCTTTGCCATGAGTAACTCATTTTCCTGTGAGTAGTATTCCTCTGTGTATGTTTTTACTTCAAGGCGGCTGGACTCTAAATGAGCGCACTTTGCCAGGCGGGATGAATGAGCTCCTTCATTTCACAGGATGTGTGTTTGAGTCTGTAACCAAGAAAGTGTATATTTGTGTGTTGTGTGCACATGAATGTGTTTCTGCATGTGCGCGCAAATGACTCTTGAGCGGGGCGTGTGCGTGCGCCCTGCGTCCCCCTGCCTGTCTCAGTGCGGCACCAAACTGCACATGACATCAATCTGAATGTGGGGAAATAGTGATCTCATTACAGGCATCTTGTTACTGATTAAAACCTGCCGCCACAGGCACCAGCGCCCTGCGCCCCTTCTCACCTCCCCACCACCAATCCCATCAACTTCCCCGCCCCACCCCCTGTTCTTCTACAATCCATCCGTCTCTCCATCTCACCCTCCAGTTTTCTTTCCCTCCCTCTTTCTATTTCACACCCCTTTCTCTCACATTCCCTGCACCAGTGGCCCTCTCGCCCTCCAACACCTCTCCTCCTCCCCCTCCTCCTCCTCCTCCTCCTCCTCACTCCATCTCCCTTTAACCCCTCTAACCTGACTTCCTCCCTGTCTTGCTCCCTTCACGATCCCCCCTTTTCCTCCTTCCTTTCTGCCTTTGCTCCTCTTCCTTTGCCAGCGAGCCCCAGGCCTCTGTTCCATAGTTCTGTGAATGCAAATACGGTTGAGTCTAAAGTGGAAACACACGACTGAGTATGATGATTCCATGAATATTTCATATCTTCATAAACACACCCAGAGAAGCCGAACAATGCCCGTGTTTGCCAGATGACTTCCTGTGAGGAATTGCCTCTCTGTGTTCGACTTTTTGTCAGAGCACACTGTGTTAGGATTGATGTCAGGGCAGCGCGTTATGATGTCACAGGCTGAAGTTAATGATACGAGAATGGCGGGGGCCATAGGCCATGTTTCCAGTGGTGCCCAGAGAGAGAGATAGCACCCTGATCTATCTTCATTATCCCCCACTCTACAGCCTCCCAGACACAATGATCATAAATCTCTGCCTGGAGCACACTTCACTGACACTGAAACACAAACACTAGTAACCTCTGACCTTCTTGCTGCTACTGCCTACACACACTCATCCATGCACACAGACACAAGCACACATATACGCATATTCAGAACTGCAGACGTGCGCGTGCATATACACACACACACACACACACACACACACACACACACACACACAGACAAATCCTAAACACCCCCCTGCTCAAGCTCAGTGTCATAATTTAATAAGGAGCACAGCATGCCCCGCGCACTGACACACACACGACTATCTTCATGCACTTGACTGCACTTTCTGACACAAACACATGGTCTCAGTCAGACTGATGGCATCACACTGACTTGAAATTCACACTTCACAGTTCTCATCACTCTGACAGCTAATATACTGTTAGCTTTTCTCGTTGTCCTATAGCTGTATTTATCGTCTTGTTTCAT